ATATATTATTGACTTTCCTGCAAAGCGGGAAAGTTTAATAAATTAAAGAAATACCAGAAAACCTCATAGAATAAGATGTAAGTATTAAAAAAATCTTAGAGAAGACAAGTTATTTCTTAGAAAGCTTTTCTTCATAATAAAGGTAATTCTAGAAGTTTCGATCTAGTAAATCCGCAGGCGTAGGCAAAGTCTATAGGCAATAATTCTAGTTCAACAATCGTTGTCCAATGCCCAGTTAAATAGGCCTTTGACCACCTTTGGCGTTAAGCCAGTATCGCAACTATGTTATTACGACACTGATAAATAAATACATTTACTTGATAACAACAGTATTGTTTGAAGGTGTGAATGAAATAAAATACAACAGGAGATCAGACTTTACATTTTTGATGCAAACTCGTTTTTATTACAACTACATAAATAAATAAATAATAATTTCACGTGCCGCCGTCTATTCTTAATCTAAGGAAGTAGATGGTTTCATCATCATCATTTCAGCCACAGGGCGTCCACTGCTGAACATAGGCCTCCCCAAATTTTTTCCTTTGAATACGAGTATTTCATACATCTAGTTCCAAACCAGGCAAAGCTTGCACTATGAGCACCAGACAACAGATAGATACAATGGCATGTAGTTCCCTTTCACCTTCGGCCTGATCATCATTTTCCATCAGGTGAGATGCAGGCCAAGAACTTCCCCGTTGTGTAAAAAAAAACCATTTCACAATCTCCGAGTAAAATATCAAGTATTCTATTCAGGCTATTCGTTGCTAAAAGTCACAAGTAGCAATTTATCGAATTTCACCATCTCTGACTAGACTAGACTAGAACTTTGAAAGAAAAAAAAGCGAAATGAGGCTCTAATGCCCGTTTTCACCATCAATACCTAATTTTTAAGTGACCCCTATGCTGACACATAACAGGCATTTTGTTTTCATAGAGGTCTCTTAAAAATTAGGGATTGATGGTGAAAACGGGCATAAGTCTCAAAAACGTTCGGGAAACAAATCATCCACCTTTTGCCTATCAGTTGAATTTGCAGTGTGTCCACTACGAAAAATCGACTGTCAATTATTGACATAAACACTCAGAAACAACATAAAACTAAGCACATAAAGTATCATGAAGTATATCATTACATAGACAGGTAACATGATAATTTGTCACCGGCATTACATACAACTCACACAAGAATGTAGTTAGCCATTCAGGATGCCTGAGCGAATGTATGGCTCTAATGTCATTGGATAAGGTTAGTGTCGGTGGTAGGGTGACCATGTGTTGTTTATTTATTGAGATAGATAGACAATATATTTATTTTAAATCGAGTATAGTTAATATTTATGTCACCACAGGTAAATCCAACCTTAGTTTAATAAATAAGTATTTGAATCGAAATGGGAAAAGTTTTTGGGCTTGCATCTCACCGGATGGCAAGTGTTTAATCAGGCCAAAAGTGGAAGCCAGACCCGGAATCTTCAACACTAATAAGTGTTTACCACGATTCCACTAGGTTCTAATTGTGTATTGCCTTTTTAACTAAGTAAAATCTGATTTTCAAAGAATGGAAATATCTTTAATTTAACACTGTATAAATAAAATAACTATAACTCTTATAGGATCCAGGATTGCTATCTGTCCTTCTTCAGTTGACAGTCATGTGCCGGTATTTAAGAAAGAAGTACGTAAAAACTGTCTGAATGGTACTCTTATGATTTACTTACCTATAAAGGACAATGACCAAAAGTGGTCCAAATGTCCACCACTAATGAGACCTATATTGGCTTATAGTCCATTAAATAGAGATTAACTTTCAGTATGGGACGAAAAAAAAATAAGCTGTCAGTAAAAAGTTATGACTGTATGAAAAATTGTAGTAGTTTACGCGCTAATCTCAGAAACTACTGGTCCGATTTGAAAAATTCTTTTTGTTATGGATAGCCCATTTATCAAGGATAGTTTTAGTTTTTCTATTTTTACCCCTTTCGCATTATTTCAAGTATTCCAATATTGTTGTCTTTCTTTCTGAGCTTGTTTTTTTTTCTTTTAACGAGAACCTAACACGGCGCACTAAGCGACACGACATAACATGCATAGATTAGTCCAAAATGTGTGATGGATAGAATGATATCAAGAACATTTTTCGGATGAAAAGGTAAAAAACATGACTTTTCATTCAGTCATAACTTTTTACTGACAGCATATTTTTGATTGCGGTTTGGTTATAATGAATCAGTATTTAGTAGACTATTTTACTACATAGGTCTCGTTAGTGGTGGACATTTGGACCACACTCCATACATTTTTGGTCATTGTCCTTTACTCTTATCTTGTTGTGTACTTGCATCGAATAAATAATTTTCTTTCTTTCTTTCTTATAAATTCTTCTCCTTGTCCTCAAATACGTAAAACGTATTGTCACCCTTTATTTGTCGATTGATTGATACAGATAATATTCCTATAACGCCTATTTTCTAGGCAAATGAAATAATCAATACACACTTTTAACATAAATAATGTAGAGCGATACTTTTGAAGTCGGTTAGGTAATAAAAAACTAAACTGGTCAAGAGCATGCTAAAGCCATCAGTGAATGGTTCCGTAGTGGCCAGTAAAAAAAAACTACGTATTCCTTCCTTCGTTCGTTTCAGCCAAATGACGTCCACTGCTGGACAAAGGACCAATGATTTCTACAACGATCGGTCCTGCGCTACCCGTATCCATTTAAAATTTTCGTTGCGTTCAGCCCAATGACGTCCACTGCTGGACAAAGGCCTACCAGAAGTTTATTTAATTTTTACTCCAAGTTAATTTTAGAGCTGTGATGTTTTTCCTGTCACCTAATAGATTGTATTTATTTATTTTAAACATTTCCAATCAAAACATATGCATATTTTTNAACAGCTCTAAAAATTCATCATAATTATTTCAGCCACAGGACGTCCACTGCTGAACCGGTTGATAGCTGAGAAAATGTTGTCAAGATTTTATTACACCAATTACAGCTTTCTTATTATAAATGGAACCCTAAAATGGAAATGTCAGCCAATTACTTCGCACAACTTATACGTTGTAAAACATGTTCTAATGAGTCAGTTTTGCTCCAAATCAGTTTGAAATAAATTAATTTTATAACGACTCACCTTGAAAACTTTAAGCAGAACATTATGTATGTAAGTACACTTAATAAAACATTTTTAACGCCCGGTATGTCGGCGTAATAAAACTTTACTGCGTCCAAAATACTTATATCCTGTATTAAACTTTATGTACAAGTACTGACAACTTATTATTCACTCTTTTTTACCTATAACCATCTACAACGGAGAAGCTCTTGGCCTGAATCTCACCTGATGAAAAGCGATGATCAGGCCGAAGGTGGAAGCGAGCTTCACCCGGAATCCTCAACCACAGAGGAACTGACTATCTTACCTCCTACACAGGAGTTGCAGCGTTGGGAACGGCTAGAGGTGGGAATACTCTCGTATCTTAACTCCCAACTGCTGATACACAACAATTCTGTTAACATTTTGTTGTCATGGATACATGCTTAAATGATGATAGTTAGCCAGACCTTACTAAGTAGTAGCCCTACAACAAACTAAAACGAGCAGAAATTTTTGCGGGAGCTCTCTGGGTCTGAGACATGTGGTCTTGCCACTAGAGGCGATTACAGAGGCGTATTACTATTTTTTTGCTTAAAAATATACAACTACTTAAACCGCCCACTCCAATTAACTTGTATACTACTGATAAAAAATGACATGAATGTGTCTTAATATCTCTATTTATAATTTAATGTAACATTCTTAGTTGAAAGACCTACCGGTTTCGGAAGCAATACAGATTCAATTTGCCTATTAGAGGCGAACTAAAAACTTTTCCTGTATGTCAAATTAACATAGTAATTTGGTATATAAATATTTTTATTATGTGTTTACTGCCTTCTGATCGTGGTTTTGTTTACGTAAATTTTGGTTATATCTTTCTATTTTACACTTTTATAAAGAGAAAAAGAAAGATAACGTAATACTTATTTTTATCTATGAAGAGATAAATACTGAATACTGTCACGGTGAGAAAAGTCCGCCTTTACAGAAAGGCTTGCTTGAAAACATGGTCAATCTTAACTTCTCCCTTTGACTTATGGTTAATTAGAGACGGTCGTCCTCCTGCAATGGAGACTAAATGAACTGATGATGATGGTAACTAATTTAAAATTTTTCACTAAGGATAACCAATTTCGAATTGATTTAGCATTTGAAGCGTGAAAATGTAACTAACAGACAGAGCATGTTTTTCTTACAGAAAAACTTAATGTGGAAGTAATATTGAATGAACTAGCCTGTTTAATCATGTTTGATTAAAGATATTCCTGTAGTTAATTGACCTTGATTCATTAAATAATTGGTGCTCTGATTATAATACAAAAACGCTCTATGATTAGTATCAAGGAATGTGGATTCGGTAGCACTACTACTATGCTAAAAATGTAGTTTAATAAGAAAAAAAAAAGAGTCAGTGTAAGACAAGAATAAAAAGGTGTTAACTAATTATTTCAGCTAACATGAATAATTTCGTTACTCACAAATGGTAAATAAGAGGTTATGAACTTTATCTATGTTGTAAATTGGGTTTCCTGTAAAAAATAAAATTCTTGACAAAGTTTTACTGAGTTATTTCCACCGATTCTCAGTACCAGCTGATTTTTTGTCTCTAAATCATTGGAAATATTGGCATCATTATTTCATGACGTTTTTGAATCGATTAGAAGAAGAAATCGTTTTATTTGTCATTTATCATTCCTAATAATTAAAGCCCAATATGACAAAATTCTAGTCAGATACTGGTAGAAAATAGACCCAAATGAGAATCAAGAAAAAATTAGATAGGAATATTGATCAGACATGAATTCCTTTGAAAATAAAACAAAACTCACCAATAGAATTCAATCACAATTTATTATCGAATTCAGCCTAAACGTAAACCTTTTATACATCATCAGTCTTACCAAACAGTTTTGAGGACGGTGGGAGCCAAGACTTGGCCGGGGTATGGAACTGCAGCCACCGTGTTCAGAGCGGGCTGGACGTACGCCACTGATCCCCAGGGTTGGATTTGTGGGACGAACTTCAGGGTGGGGACAATGGGGTAAGTCGACAGAAGAGGGGTTTGCCCAACGATGTATTTAGTTGGAGTTTCAATCTTGACTGGTTCGGGCTTGGGAGATTCAGCGCTAGCTTCAGCAGTCTTCACATTCGCAGATTCGACTTGGACGGAGTCAGATTTGGCTTCTTCTACCTTCTCAGCTTTGTTCTCCTCTTTGGGTGCCTCAGCAACCTTAAGGTTGGGAGTGACGAAGCCCTGCGTGTAGAATAACGGAGACACAGGCTGCGCCACTGCTGACACTGCTGCTGCAAATTTGGCTGCAGCATCGGAATCTCTAGCCAGCTCCCCGTCCAGTTGAGCCTGCGCTGTCTGCGCTGCATTCAAAGCCTGCCACTTTTTATCCTCATTAGCCCAGAAAGCCTCCAGACTCCTTTCTTTAGCTTGATCATTAGCTTCGATCACCTTCTCGTTGTGGTCGACCACAACTTCTTCGACGACTTCGCGGTTCTTATCGGCGATGGAGCGGAGGTAGTCCTCGGTTTGGACCTTGGCGTCGATGAGGGCGGCTTGAAGGTCTCCGGAGTTGACAGCAGGGACGGCTACGACGGGGGCGATGGGGCTGATGGGAGCTATGAGGCTGCCAGAGGGCGCGGCGGTGGCGCAAGCCAAGAGGGCGGCGGAAAGAATCTGCGGACAAAACGGAGGGTTACTTTTTATGAACTCCGATCAGCCATTGAAACTGCTAGATTGACATTCGCGAGACAGGATGATAGCATAAAGAATCTGTGGACAAATGTAGTCCCTCTACACTCTGGAACTGCTTCTCTTTAAAATAATTTTGAGAGAATCAAAGGATCAATAAATTGGTTGGTTGTTTTTTAATCATCAGCATTGCTCAGTCAGGTCCTTTGGTATTGCTACTCTTTATGACATTGACATTGGCACTGATTCTCTGACATTGACATTGAACTTGATGCTATTAGATTTATATTAAGACAAAATAAGAGCTGCTCAAAATTTATTTTCTACGACACTTTAGTACGAATGAAAAAATATCAAATAAGGTTTATGTAAATACGAGAAAATAGCTAAAAAAATTGACGGATAAATGATAAATCTTCGTCACAATTGTAGCAATAATTTAATTACAAAAACAATTAAACTTTTAACTAATCATTTACATTGTGTTTAATGTAAACGAATAACGTAGTCTATCATTTGTTATGCAGTATTCACAATAAATTGCATTCCAAAGCAACTCTTCGATACTAGACGTTTCAAGGGAGACGGCATGATAATTTTTCACTTTTATGCTAACTAACTTTTGTCTAGGAATGCTTTCGCGATTGTTAAGAATTATTTTTACTGTGACTTAGTTATTAATGGAGTCAAAATAATTTTCAGGTACCATGGATATATCTTTAGAGATATTATTATATTAAATCCATGAAGTTACAAGCCTTTTGGTGGCTATTTTGAATTCGTTCGTTCGTTCGTTTCAGCCAAATGACGACTGGACAAAGGCCTCCCCCAAGGTTTTCCCGCGACCTTTACTAGATCGTCGGTCCACCTAGTAGGAGGCCTGCCCACGCTATTAGTCTTCCAATTCTATTCTGAAAATAATTCTGTTTTGAATGCTATACGATGAAATAGGCGTAAGTAGGTGAAGATTTAAGGATTTGCCACACTGGATGTGTTCTGCAGTCTGCGGTTTGATCAAAGTGAACGCAGTCACACATATGATTTATTTTATGTATGAGATTTTTTTTTAATTTTGAGAATTTTGTTTATATTTTCCGAAACACTATAGTCTATCCAATATAGCTTGATTAGAATGACGGCTGTCAAACGAATGTGACTAGTGCTGTGTATGTTTCGTACGGTTCACATAGATGTATCGATAAGTTTTCGAAAAAATTATATAAAAAATTGCACTAAATTTTTCTTCATATCTTTGTTCATAAAAATGACAATTATGATTTAAATTTAAAGACAGTAAAATTTAAAATTCATGTCAAGGGTGTACAACCTAAGTCGTAGTCATTATCATCAGTGTTCTTCAGTGGTTTTTTCCTCTCGCTAGAGGGCGGTGGGCATCTCTTCTAGAGCAACGGTGCTATGAATACCCAAAAAATTACCGGTGATTGATTTCCGATGTTTGATTATTTAAGAATGAAATGTTTTTTGGTTTTTAATAGTGAACATTTAGAAAAACGTATAACTTGACTTAAATATGTTAAAAAATTAGAAAAAAAAAATGTTAAATATGTTAAGAAATTAGTTTTAATTTAATATGACATTTGTCGATATGTCCCAACACTAACATTTTTGTAACTCGAGATAACCTTGTAGAGACGTCGTTAATACTCTAGCTTGATTTTTATAATTTCGAATTACTACTTATTGGTGTAATTTAACGCTGCATTAACACGAAATTAACATTTTTATTGGAAGCACTGTCGTCGAAAATATTGTTTGTAGGTCAGACGTGAATTATTTCTTGTCCGCCAATATTTAGCTCTCATTGATCGCTACTACAAAGTTATGTCGTTACTTTTGATGGCAGCTGTCATTCTAATCAAGCTATATTGGATAGACTATAGTACATTTGTAGACATTTTATTTCCCTGATCTATCTGGCTAAATTAATTGACTAAAAGCTTAACTTTTAGTCAATTAATTTAGAATCAAGTACTGGTATTGTTTTTTGCGTATTTTTCAGGCACATTTTATTCCCTATATCCGATTTTATCAAAATCCTTTTAGGCCTATTTTCGATTAACCAGTTTATCTTTTACACACTTAACACACTAAACACTAGAACACTGACCAGAACTCTCATGGTGCTGGATGTGCGGCTACTGATTGCTGCCATCCCGAGCCTCGCCGTATTTATATCGGACCATCTTAGAGCACTGGACGACCGAGATGGAACTACGAAAAATGAAGAAAAAATACGGCAAGGGCGACGCGGTCTTAAGGGCGGGTTCCGGATAGAGAGCGAAAGTAGATGTGGGTACGAATTTTAGATGTTTAAAGTTTACTTGTGGAATTATATTTTTAATACATATAAAAATACCCTTATGTCCAAAGGGTGTCCTTATGGTAAGGGTACAAGGTTCGAGACTATATTGATGACAAGGATGCGTGGTCAGTTCAGTCTGCACATATTTGATGTACTCGAATTTGGTTATTCCTACCGTTAGATAATTCCTGGCAATTAGTGGTGACTGAGTTTGTTCCGGCATTTCTTCTCAGCGCTTGCCATATGTTTGTCGCGAAGCGCTGGTAGGGCCCAAAAGATAAGGAGACATGTAAAGTGCCCCATAAGGGCTACCTTTTTTTTATTATTTTCTATAACAATATTTTGACGTTCATAAGTGCCACTTGTGGTCTAAACTGAATAAATACTTTTGATTTTGATTTTTGATTGATTATTTGTTACAATTAATTAGTGATAAAATAGCCGTATGATGATGGAAGAATAGGGAGTCACTCTCCCAGTGGATTTTGTAAGAGGCGTCTAAGCATAGGCGCAGACCATCGATTTTTCGTCGGCCGATAGTTTAATCGGGCAGTTGATCAGTATGGGCATGTATAGAAGTGCGAACATTACACCGATTCGATTTGGCCGATTCTTCATACAATTTGAAATCGGGCACAACTATCGGCCAACAAAAATCGGTGGTCTGCGCCTAGGCTAAGGGAAAAATATGCGCACATCATTCTTCCCCAACGCGTCTAGCCAGCTTGGAGAGTGTAGGACAAATTCTCCATTAGACTGGTTGGTTGGGCCTATGTCCAAATTATCTCCCTTTTCTTCGGTGGCTCCAACTCTCAAAATTATCTAGCTGCATGAGATGGATGGCCAGCACCTTCGCAGGAGCCAGGTGGCCAGTGTTAAGTGTCACGCGAAAAACCTCTATAGAAAATTAAGAAGAAAAAACTTGTTGTCTTGGAACGTCAGTCAAATGTGAAAAATCCGCTGAATCTGAATATAAATTGAAATAATCAAAACCGCAAGAAATATCGACGGGTCGACCCTCGAAGCCTGGTCTCCGTCTCCTGATCCGCAGGTTGGTGGTTTCCGTTTTATGCAGCTGTATTTTTGAGTTGTTTGGAGTCACCAGCCGACCCCCGCATCATCTTTCTTCTCCGCAATTTATTCCTGGTGTGGCTATTTACACGCCACACCACTGGTGAATTGGAGAAGATCGTGTCTATACAGAGACTAAATGATCTGACGATGTTATTAAAAGATTTTTTTACAACACTAAGGTCATCAAGCCGCGAGTGAACAGGCATATTCTGGGTAAACTCGATCCATACATCGTATCTGTACCTACTCACGATTGGGATTGTTATCAAGAGCAAGCCTACTAATAGCATTAGGATAGGACCAAATCCTTCATTTGCCTCCGGTAATTTGGAAAGTCTCAGTGGAAATGATTAGCACTTGCCAAATGTTTGTCTCGAAGGCAAAAAAAGACATGTAAATGCTTCGTAAAGCAAAAGACGATTTGCAAGTACCTAATTTAATTCTAAACAAATTAAAGTTTTTGATTTTTTGACCAGCCGGGCTAAGATGCACACATTGAAAAAATCTCATCGATCATTTTAGACGACAAACGTATGGGCTTATCGCGAAAAATCGATAAAAGGTTATCATGGCCCACATCACGTCGTAGGCCTACTGATGATAAAAACCGAATATTTCCAAAAGGTTTGATCCGATTTCGAGCGGTACCCCAAAACGGGAAGAATGCAGGAAGCGCGCGCTTTTTGACGCGCGATGGGTGCAAGCTGCGTATGTCTTGCGTCACACGTTTTTTTGAGTATATGCCTAGCGCTTGGCTTTGCTTGAGTTTCGTAGTTATTTGACTAAGTTTAAATCTATTTCGGAGTCTTTCGACGTAGCTGTTACGAAGTTGAGCTTTATAGTTATTTTACTAAGTTATTAGTATCTTTTTCGTTGTCATCGACGGAGCTCTTGCGTCACACGGTTTTGAGTATATGCCTAGCCTGTGGCTTTGCTTGGGAGAGGAGCTTTCAATATTGGTGTTAAAAATAATTATGTCAATAGCGTTTTTTTCGACGTTGATCCCATAAAGTATTGAAACTAAAAAGTTAATGGTAAGAAGTATGGTGTGTATTTTAAATTGTTTATTTAATAAAGATAAATGAATAAAAAAAACTTCAAAATAAAAGAAGTGGAAGATAACTTGATTTACTCGTTATTTGGGATCGAAATTAGAAATTTTCAAATATGTTAATGTTATAGTACCTACTTATTTATTGCTGATAAGTTTCATTTATCTGACATATTATAATGTTGCCCATTAAAAATGCTGACATTTTCTGCCAGACATGCAAAACAAAAAAACCGATAAGTTTCTATCGGACAGTATCTAACAGATAAGTTTCTGATAAGCTATCAGAGCAAGTGGCAAGACTGGCCTTTGCATTACCATGCATAATGGAACTGAAATAAGTCGCAAACCAATTATGTGGGTATGCATATTGAAAACAGGTGGGGTAATGGAAATAGTGCATCCATTTTTGTAGAGCTGTAGGCTGAATTATCATTTTAAATTGTAGCGTTCAAGATATTCTGTAAAACATACAGCATCCATACTTCAATACCGATATATTATGTATTTATACGAAAGTAACTCTGTCTGTCTACATTTTTACGCTTAAAGCACTTTATGCCAGTTTCCTATAATCAATCCTTGTCCAAATCTGTCCTTCAACTGTCAAAAATCAATCTGTTTTTGATCTAATATCAAACATTTTTGTTACTACGACTATTAAACTTTCTTATTGTATAAATAGTCCTAAAAACAATATAAAAATGTGGAAACATCGAAAACCGAGGATTTTTTGACCAAAAACAAATAAAAATTTGACAGTTGACGGACGGATTTGGATTGAAATTGATTATAGAAAACCGACATAAATCTATTTAGATAAAATTTTGTGTAGAGATTGTTTTAGACCCAGGGAAGACCATAGAATAGTTTTTATCCTGGTTTTGGAAGGGGCCACATTTGCGCGATAAAGTTTTTCTGTGAGAAACCAAAACACACAAGCGAAGCCGCGGGCAAAAGCTAGTAAAATAATATTTACTTATAACAATCGGATATTCAATAAAACAGCTGTTCAGTATTTTTAAACTAGGTTATCATTTTATTACCTGGTTATTCTTATTTAGAACTCATAATATTTGCCTTAAATAAAAACAATAGTCATTTCAATGTCTTTATAAGACTTTATGTTGTATTGTTTATGAAAAGTCTACTTTTTGGTAAAAGTTATTGAACTTTTTGTATTGGGGCAATGAACTTTATAATAGTCGTTGTAAGTTAAAGTCCTGGAAGCCCTAGGCTTGATTCCTTTTGAAAATATACTTTTACTATAGTTATCATCATCATCATCAGGGGGCGTAGTGTGAGTTTACGTCAAACGCATTCGATGTCAACCGCGTAAAAAAGTGACATTAAATGTATGACGGATTGTACAGCGCCCCTAGCGGAAACTTTCAAGAACTAAAATCTTCATATATTTTTTGACGCGCTCGCTAGTGACGGCGTTTGATGTAAACTCACACTAAGCCCAGGTCATTCAGTCTCCACTCCAGGAGCACGACCCTCTAATGTACCAGAGGCAAATGGAGGATTTGGCCTGCACTCCCCACGCTGGCCAGACGGGTTGGGGAGGCCTGATGTTCGCATATTCGTCCCTTAATCGCCTCTTACGACATCCACGGAAAGAATGGGGGTGGTGTTATTCTACTATGCTGGAACCACGCGGCTACAATTACTGTTGGGAAGTGAAACCCTAACTTCGAACTTCTCCTATGTTCTTCTGATTAATTCTTTGCGGGTCCAATGACAGTTTAACTTTCCCTCGGGACAAACTTGACCTACACTGGTTGGGTTGTTGGCGGTCAAGCTGTAGATCCTGGCTACACAGCAGTTGCAGCGGTGGGAACGAGAGGTGGGAATAGTTTCGTTTCCTTTGGTTCGTTCGTTCGTTCGTTCATTTCAGCCAAATGACGTCTACTGCTGTACAAAGGCCCCAAGGTTTTCCACAAAGAACGGTTCCGCGCTGCCCGCATCCAGGCTCTTCCCGCGACCTTTACCAGTTTCTTTGGTTACATAAATAGAATTTTAATTCTATCTATGTTAAACTGCTGTAAGATAGCCAGTTCCTCTGTGGTTGAGCATTCCGGGTGAAGCTCGCTTCCACCTTCGGCCTGATCATCACTTACCATCTTGACTTACTTGACTTAAGGTCCTATGTCCCCTAGATGGGGCAGAGGGCGTCCACAACAGTCCTCCATCGCGTTCGGTCTTGAGCTTCGCGTTTGATCTCGCTCCAAGTCTTGCCGATCTTCTTCACCTCGTCTGCCACAGTCGCCTCGTCACACACTTACCATCAGGCCTATAGCGTATTCCCTATGTGGTTTAAAAACAAAATATGTTTACAGACAAACAATTTTACTGATTCGCTATACGTATAGGAGGGCGTATGTAAATTATACAGTACATAATGTATATAGCCCAAGTGTAGTACTCGTTTTGTAGATTTAAATGTCAACTGGTGGTTTTTTTGCAATTGTTATAGTTTCTTAAGGGAAGTTGAAGTCATTAAGTAGAGATGTATGAGATTTTTTATGTGTTTTGTATGAAAAGAGCGAAGGAATTTTATTTCTTTTTAGTGTAGTAAATAGGATGTTGTAAAAGTTAATATATCGTCATATAAAGACGGAATGTCGTAGTCTCATTTATACTGCGAACAGCTAGGGACTGCAATTCGCTGCCTGCTGTCTTTCCCGAAGACTATATTCCGGGCCTTTTCAAAGCGAGAGTGAATAGGCACTTGCAGGGCAGATATGTACCATCCTAGACTGCATCTC